GTGATATTTAATGGATCGGATTACATTTTTTATTTTTCTCCGATATCCGATCCAGTAATTTAGGTCAGTATCGGACCGATACCGATACGTAATATCGGATCGGTCCATCTCTAGTACAAACACAACGGTGCAATGTATTTGGACAAACTGTGCTGTCAGTAAAGGAAACTACACACTGGAACAGCATAACAATGGCAATAAAGCAGCACTTTCCCTATAATAGGTGATTTCTAGGCTTTACCTTGAGTTTTTTAGCACAATACCTGCATCACAGTTATATCTCAGCCATATTAGATATTCAGAAAGAGAGATGAGATGAACCCAGGTGAGATATTCAGAATGAGGGGACAATAGCTAAAAAGAAAGGACAGTAGTTAGCTGGAGAGCTATGTTTTGAAATAGAGATCAAATAAAATATTACATAATTGGTATTATCAAAGCACCTCACAGTGAAGTGCTGCATGTCTGATGGAATACATAAATATAAAGTGAAGGAACATTGTGAAAACACATCAGATCTCAATGGGGAGAAATTCATGCTGGACATCTCTACTATTATGGACTAGATAATATGTTAGGAACCAAGGGATGTCACCTTGTTGATGGAAATGAAATAACAACAACTCATAATGTTGTTTGAGTTGTTGTTATTTAGCCCCCCGTGTGCTTGTATATCTGCCTGTCAAAGTTGGGGCATTCTCCTAATGAGATGATGTCCATGGACAAGGGCATTGCTGAGCTCCTGGACAGTCTGAGGTGCAACTGGCAGCACTGGGTGGAGTGAAACATAATGTCCCAGAGGTGTTGGACTTAGGTCAGGTGAGCGTGGGGGTCAGTCAATGGTATCAGTTCCTTAATCGTCCAGGAACTGCCAGCATACTCTTGTCATATGAGGCTGGGGATTATCGTGCACCAGGAGGACTCCAGGACCCACTGCACCAATGTAGGCTCTGACAGTCGGTCCAAGGATTTCATCCTGATACCTAATGACAGTCACCGTGCTGTTAGCCTAGCATACAGAAGTTTGTGCATCCCTCCAATGCTATGCCTCTCCAAACCATCACTGACCCACCATTTACCACAGGCATGCTGAACTATGTTACAGGCTGCATAACGTTCTCCACGACTTCCCCAGACTCTTTCACGTCTGTTACATGTGCTCAGGGTGAACCTGCTCTCATTTGTGAAAAGGGTAGGGTGCCAGTGGTGGACCTGACAATTCTGGTATTCTATGGCAAACGGCAGTCAGGCTCCACGGTGCCAGGTAGTGAGTACATTCACACCAGTGGCCTGGCTCTGGCAGTGCTCATCTTGTTCCTCCTTGCACAAAGCAGAAGATAACACTCCCACTTATGGGTTAAGGACCTTCTACGGCCCTGTCCAACTGTCAGAGAGTAACTCCAGAAGGCAGGCAATCTCCTCCATGACTTGATGCATGACTCTGATTAAATAGCGTTTCTTTATTTTTTTGTGTATTTTGGATGGATTAATGAGGAAGCCTGTGTATTCAAATCCATTTTAGTAATAAACACAAGAGTAGAGTTGTGTGTCTCCTTTTTTCTTGAATGCCAGTATATGAAAACAGTCAATTATTAGAGGCAGATAGACAAAGTCACAAACACACACAAACTAATGCAGTTTTTAAATGATACTCCTGCTTTTGCTGTGTTTCAGGTCTACCGTCTGTGCCACCCATGCCAGGTGAAGTATGACTTTATCGGAAAGCTAGAAACCCTGGAAACAGATGCAGAGCTCCTGTTGAAGCTTCTGAAGGTGGATCATCTGATACGGTTCCCCTCAGGGGCTCAAAACAAAACTGCAGCCAGCTGGGAAAGAGACTGGTTTGCACAGATTCCCATTTCAACACAGAGACAGTTGTACAAGCTGTATGAGCTGGACTTTGAGCTGTTTGGATACCCCAAACCTGACAGCGTGCTTCACCAGTAGACCATACCAAGCCAAAGGCTCGGACTCTGCACTGTGTGTAGCGCCTTCACCTTCCCTGCCTGCGCACAACGAGCACATGCCTTTAAAAAACAGTCTGTGAAGCTGTGTGTTTAATTTGTTTTATGCATACCTCAAAAGACAAAAGTGCCTGTCTGCATTATTTTATTTTTGACATTATATCATATCCAAAGTGCACCAGCTTACAAGTTACTTTATCCCAGTCTGTGTTTCCTCATGCAATGGCACTTTAAAGAGTATTTTTTGAATGCGGTATTTTGGTAAGTCATGAGTGAAGGTCTTGGGCTGCATGTTAGCTCACATTTCTGAGGGGGAAGTATGCAGAAAAATAAAGAGTTTTTAAATTACTGTGTGATCCTCTGTAGGTAATTTGTGTTTAAACTTTCTCAATTCAAAATTTGATTTTAATCTCTAATTACTTATCACTGGAAGTGCTACGAAGCTTGAGAAAACATCTATAAATCCTCTGTCTGCTTTGGTTCTGGAGGCATTTTGTCAAGTCTTCAGATCTCAGGTTGAGGAATAAGTGTTTTGCAAATTAGGAGGAACTGTCACTCATTTTTAAAAGATCCATTAAAGCCATTTTTTAAAAATCTGTATGTGAGTGCTTCATGAAAGTGGAGTAATAAATCCCTGGTCTATTTACCTTTAAGTATACTATAGAGGCAGAAGTTTGAATAAAATAGAACACATTAGTCCATCCATACTGCACAGTCTCGACACAAGTCACTTCACACTGATCTGAATCATTTGAGCATAAAGAATTCAGCTAACTCAAACGATGAACCTGTCTTGTTTCTACACAAAATAGACAACTTTGCAAAGAATCAGTTTTAAATTGTAACTCTAGGCACGTTGTTACTCACAAAAACACATACAATGTGTAACAAAAATAATATTTTCCCCATTTTCTTAGTTGATTGTACAAAAGTTCCAAAGTTCTATTTTTGACAGGCATAAAATAGAACTTTTGTATCAACAAGGTGATACCATTTCCCCCCTTAAAGTTTGTGAAAGTTGAATTCAAAAGAAGAAAAACTATAAAGATCAGATAAACCATATCTGAAAGTCGTGTATGTAAGAAATAAAAAAAACAAAAACAGTAAAGTCCTGACACAGGACCTGAGAAATCCCTTCAGCTGATCTATCTACTGTTCAGTGAAGCCTCAACAGGGGTGACCGACAAGAAGGCATTCTTCATGAAATAGATAGAAAGGCTGAGATATGCTAAATTACACAAGAACTGGACTGAAAACACAGAACACAGAAAAGTACAGTCTGATTTTGCTCCACCATTTAACCCTTGTGTTGTCCTTGTGTTGTCATCAAGAGTATGGGAATCCTGAGGACATTACAAGGGTTAATTCCAACTGGAAAGGATCTGATCAGCGTGACAGTGATCACAAACACACCTGACACAGCAGTAAAGCATACCTGAATAAAAAAACACAGTGGAACACTATCAGTCATTGATTGACCTCCCTGGAGCCCGGACCACAACATTACTGAAGCAATGTGGGATCATCTTACCAGAGGACAGAAGGTAGCCAACACCCAAAGAAGAGTTTTTGTCCTTCAAGAAGCCCAGAGAACTATTCCCGAAGATCACTTAAAGAAATTAAAAGAAAAGCTGCCTAAGAGAGTTCAGGCTGTTTTGAAGAATACCAAATATTGACCTACAGGCTACACAGAATTATAACAACTGCCTTATATACTGTATTTCCATCTATTTTTGGATGTTTAAAAAACCCCCACTGCATCTCTTTCCCATTTTCCAGTAATGAGACTAAAGATGATTTAATGGTAATGTATGATTCAAAGCCAAACTGAAATTAGATACTTAAAAACAACAACAACAACAAAACAATGTCTTTTTATTAAGAGTTTTTCCTTTATACATATACACAAAAAGAGAGGAAAATGATTACAGATGATCAGCACATTCGGGGTAATTAGCCCATACACTTAAGGTTGTGAGATAAAAAAGAAAAAAGAAAAGAAAAAGAAAAAAGTGAAATAAAGAAAAAGAGAGAAATGTAAACATAAGTATAATATTTCCCCAGATAACATAATCCCTGCAAAATAATCCCATTCATTCCCACCGAGGTCAGATACCTTTTTTAAAACTAAAAAATAACACAGTATTTCCTTCCCTGTATTAAAGTGAAGTGCAAGTATAATTCGTTATATTACCTAACTAAACGGACTTTCCACCACTGATAGGTGTGTATAGGCTTTTTCTGGGCGGGGTGCTGAGAGAGAACAAAAAACAATGCCTCCACTACTTTCGATTGCACAAAGACCCCCTCTTGTTGCGTTTACACCTGCCCTGTTGTCTTTTTCCACGTGTTCCAGCCATTTCCACAGTTCCTCCCCTTCTGCTCCAAATATCTCCTCTCATTGGTGTAGCTTCCTGTCACTGGGGTAGGTCTTTGAAAAGGGCCCGCCCACCTGTCCGCTTGACAGTTCGTTACTGACGTCACTGAATCCGTCCCATCACGGAAATATGGAGTAGTGACAGGAGATGTTACGCTGCGTTTGTTATGGCTTTAAAGCGGCACTTCGAGCTTTGAATGTTCGTTTTTAGTGGCTGTCCGCATGGATTTAGCGATGTTAAACGCCCGAGGTTAACTTACGAACAGTGGCTGGCAGGCGCTGGAAATGGAAAGAGACTTCGACCTCTGTTTTTAGTTCAGTACCGTCAGTTGTTCGTTTATTAAGAGCCATGAAACAAAGTGTTTTAGGGGTCATGGGGGCTGTGGGGCGCCTGATCCTGTCTCTTCTCCTGCTGTCGTTGGAAGGCAAGCTGGTTCAGGTAAACTTTGAGTTGTGTGGCGCTTTCTGCTTCTCTTGTTGTGAACACTGTTTTTGTGTTTCTATTTATGCCTAACGGAACTCCTAAATGGCATGTGTGTCTATTTCAGGCTCTAGCAAAGTTGCGGTGATATGATGGGACTTTTAACGTCTTTAGCTAGCTAGCTAGCTCACTCGTCAGAAGAAAGTTAATTGTGTGTGTGTGTGTGTGTGTGTGTGTGTG